AATTCGTCCTTATACGCCCATATATATTAATTCAAAATGTGTTGAGCCTAAATGACAGACTCACATGTTTCGGATGCTGACATAGCAAAAATCTATGCTTTGAAATGTTATTTGCATTATTTTTTCTTTGGAATTAAGCTTGGCATAAACATAATTAACTTTTTTCAAACTAAAAGTAACTTTACATTTCATTTTGTCACCTTTTTTTTTTCTCTCAGTACAAATTCCTTCTTAATTGGGCAAGTAGCAATCCATCTTAGAATTTTGTCTTGTATTCCTCAGTTAAATTTCGATCTACTAATGCAGACTACAAAGTTTTAATTAATGGGGATACTGAGGTCCTTCATGTGCTATCTAATTTCCCTACATGGCAATTCGACTTCCGTAGTTTTGCATTTCTTCAAAATGATGACATTGTAGACGAGTCAATCCTTTATAAATGATAAAACTTTTATTTATTATTTATTGTGGATTTGAATTATTTTTCAAATTTAAATTTTTATTGTTGATATATTAATGAATAAAATAGTATTTAATTTTTCTATTAATATATATTGTAGATGCTATTGGTATGGCCGTTGAAGTTCGACCCATTCATTTAGATTGAATAAATGGAGAAGAAAAGCAAAGGATCACTTTTTCGATCATGGATTTGGAGTAAGTAATATATATAGTACATGAATTATATATTTGTAAAATGTGTTTAAAATTTAATATTAATTTTATTTTTTTAACTAAATAGTGGATTAGTGATGCGTTGCGAACTTTGGGGTGATTATGTTTACGAGTTTATTTATTGTGAAAATCACTTCCAATCTGCGAACAATGGAGAACCATGGGTTCTTATCATGCAATTATGTAGGACAAGACAAAAGATTGCAGGTATTTTTAATTTGTGATTTATTTATATCTATATACAAAAGATTAAATATCAATATATATAGTTTTGATTGCAAATTAATATATATTATTTTGCAACATGTGAGTATCAATTGAGTTCATTTCTGAATGTCACATGCCTTTTTGCTGCTAATATCCCGGAATTTTAGATTTTCATACAAAGTAAGTGTTCTCGAACAATTGACACTTTTGTAAATATTTGTAATGTTGTATATATATTGTATTATTTTATGTATAGCTTTTCAAGTATCAAACTGATATTTAATTAATTTCTCTAATTTTGAATATACGTTATAAAATTAAATATACTGATTTTCAAGTAGCAAATAGTACAAGCCGAATATGTATGTCACCAACAGTGCCTGCCCAGATTTTGATGCTAAGAGTTAAGATTGCAATGGAGAGTGCTTAAGAGGATGTTGGGACTAAATAATTACTTCAAACTTAGGGTTGTCCACAAATATATTGGGTTAGTGCTTGTGATGTTTTTTTATTTTCTGTTTACTTCAATCTCTATGACATTTGGTTATTCTATATATGTTTTTCTATTTATATTTGCAATTGAATTAATTTATTTTTTATTATTAAAATTAAATTAATATGTTTTTATAAAGGGAATTTGATTCAAATTGTTTAAAAAAATCTAAATATTAACAAAGTCCATATCTGGTGAAGTTGTATTGTGCTCAGGCTTACAAAGAACATGCGTCTACAGAGTTTTAAAGATTATGAGGAACATGAAGA